TTCACGACGATCGGGTCATCCGTTTACGACACCTCCCGCACCATCGTGTTCGTTGCATCGTTCCGAGTTCGCCGGTGTCATCCTTGGTCTCCGTCTACGGCGGCACGTGAGGAGGTGAAGCGGTCAAAGTTTCCGATTTGTTGAAATCGAGCTCTCCGCCGTTCAAAATTGTGAACCGAGCTTTGTAAGTATCTCGAAATCGCTCAAAATAATTTTTAGAAATTTTTCCGGGATTTTATCACTGTTCACGCACCCCCACGCCGGTTTGATCGGTTTTGCTCCTATTTTGACCGGTTTGACCGGTCATAACCCAACCCGACCCGTTGACCCGACCCGACCTGTTGACCCGACCCATTGACCCGACCTGTTGACCGTAGACCGACGTTGACCACTGTTGACCAAAACTTTGACTGGCTTTGACCGGGCATTAAACGACTTTTGACTTCGACCGAGTATACCTATCCTGACATTTTTCGACGTTCCAAATCCGATTTCGCTGTCTATTTTTCGAAATTCGAACCCGAAGGTCTCGAAATTACCGGTCAAACCCGTTGACTTTGATTTTGACCGAAAATTCCAAATTTCTGAAAAGTCATATTTTATGCTTTCGACGTCCTGAATCCGAATCCGAAGTCCGTTTCGCCAAAATTCAAACCCGGTAAGCCGTCTTTCACTGATTTATCACCGATTCGATCCGTTTATCGCAATTAAGCTCCGTTTCTGATATAATTTATGTTGATATGTATCTGAGGAATTATTGGAAGCTGAATTGAGGATCAAAGACATTCGAATGGAATTTTTATGGTCGATCAATATTGCACGGAAATCGAGGTAATACTTTACTACCTCTTTATGATTTATAGAACATGTTGGTATTGGTAAATGCATGAATGGAAATGTTTGGTCTTATATGTGTAATAATGAAGATCTACACTAGATACGAATACGGTAGAAAATAGATAACTGAATATGGTTCATGACTATTATAAGAAATTGGGGACAGTTGGAATTAATTTACAAGTTCTGAAATTAAGTGATAAAAGAATCAACCATGGATTGTAGATTATAATTTATCTCATTAAAGGTACTTAGATGATAAATTATGAGAATATCGATTAGGTAAAATTACAAAATTACCCTTATGGTGGAAAATGACAAGAATTGTCTCTGGAAGTGGATTAATAAATCTGAAAAGAATTATTGATCTGCTAAACTATTGATGTGCATAAGGAAATGTAGTTTTACTTGGAAATTATGGATACGGTTTTTAACACCAAGAGGGTTTATGCAAGATACTAGAAGTCTGTTAAGGAATCACTTCAAGATCAGAGAAGGTTCGGGAAAGCAATTAATCATAAGATCTCTAAATTATATTATTTCGTTAAAAGCTAATATCGAATTATCTGGTTAAGAAATTATAGAAATGCCCTTAAGAGATCGAATAGTCTAAGTTAACCTGAATGAGAAAATACTTAGAGGATTCGTACTTAACTCGATTAAGTACAGATTTGATTGTTAAGATCCTGAATTAGCAGGAAAATTCATGATATTCCATTTGTAAAATTGAGAAAGCACTGCCCGAAAAATATCCGAGAAATGAGTAAATACCTGAAGAATAATTTATCGGGGGTCTGCTGTCAGAATTATTCGAAAGGACTGAAACAAATGAGAGATTGAATTAAACAATAAGATCGGATGGAGGAAAAAGATATAAATTGGAATTAAATAATAAGACCAATGGAGGAAAAAGATTGAAATGTGGATCTATAAAATGACCAAAAATACCCGTAATGGAAATGATCAAGAATGTCACCAAGCTCAGGAATGATTGGATATCCTCGAGCTCTGAAATGATGGAATAAAACTGAACATAAATTACCAAAAAAACCCTTATGGTCTAAATTAAGTAAATGTCTTGGATTAATTAAGGAATCCAAGTAAGCATAGGTATTGGACTACCTTTAAAGGTAATGAAAATAATTTAAGTGAGTAGATCAACCCTAAAGCTATATCAATACCTGAATGACATAGATATTACTGGAACATGTGTTCGTCTTCTCAAGTTTGGCTCGATGACAAATTTTGGAAGTATTCAGTTCAGCTCAGATCTAGATCGTATTCAGTACTAGGAATTGGACGTTTGTTCGACAAATCAACCACGAAGACCAAATTGAATGGAACGGAAGTGCAACATGTGTCTGAAATTTAGGAACGTTTGAATTACTCTGAAAAAAATCCCGAAATAACTGGAATGGATATGACTGTTAAATAAACTAGGTAACCTTAATGACTGAGGATTAAGTAAGTGGATTGGATAAGTCTGGAAATTCTGATGAGTTTATAAGATGTAATGTCCTTATGGAACATGAACTACAAATCAAGCATGTCAGTATTCATGATATCGTGGAACTTGGAAACGAAATAAAGACCATTGGAAGATCTATTCAGCGATGATTCTGAGATGATCTATGGACAAGAATTTGTGGTATTAACGAGTAAATACCCTGAAAGGAAAAATGAATTGACCAGTCGACATAGATATTAAGATTCTGAATCTTCGTTCTCAAGATTGTTTGATTATCCGATCAATTGACATGGATGTAAAGGATTCTGAATACCCTTCTGATTACATACAACTTCTGAAAACTGTCCAAATAAGATATGATCCTGATAATTCACATTCTGAATAACTGGTGATTCTGTCAGTTATTGAACTTTTCCAATAGTATTTCTAACGTCCGGTATTTTATCGGTATACTGAAAATCCGTGTTTCTCTGCCTGCTAAGATTATTTAGCATCTCTGAATAATATTTGTAAACTCTGGTGTGTTCCCTAATCATATAATATTTTATCTGATTTCCGACTTGAATTCTGTTAGGATAAATGACCTGAATTCTGTTCTGATTCTGATCTGGATTCTGTTATGATCTAATCTGAATTCTGTTTTGATTTCTGATATCTTCGTTTAATGACGGAAAAATGTTTTAATTGGGGGTATTGTTAAGGAAGAATTTACGCAGTACCTCGACTTGTGCTCAGGCCCTTATATGTTGGTTGGTTTGGGTGTATGGTTCTGGGGAACCTACACATTATGTTGTGATGGGATGGGGGTATATATATATGTTTTAAAAAGATCTGAAAAGTTATATGGTTTTTTTGGGAACACACTAGAAAACCTATTATGATCTCCTCAACTCAGTCATCCGAAATATTTCTCTGAACTGAAAGTTCATTGTCCGTTACCACCCGAAATATCAGTAGAATCTCTGCTCAGCATAAAAATAGGTAAATGCTCAAAAGCAATAAGGAAATAAATATTTATATGTATCTGCACGTTCATCAGCATCATCTGATAGTTCTGTATTACTGAGCTTTCCAAAGCTCACTCTATTACTCACCTTTTCAGGTTGAAAGAATTGTACCAGTGCATCTCGACTTCAGTAAGGGAGTTCGTCGGCGTTGTGCAGAGTATGGTACATGTGATTAGGGGGCATGTAATTGTATTTTGATTTATATACGAGTCTGGAAATATGTTTTATTTTTAAATAGTGAAAACTGATTTTATAAGTTACACGTTTCAATAAAAGTTTTAAATTTTCCGCTATTTTTACAGTGGGTCGCTCCGGTGGCCCTAATGTGACTTCCCGGATCGGATCGATATACCCGCATTGGTCTGGGGGGTTATAGATAGAGTTTACAAATTTATTTTAATGTGTAAAAATATGATATATAAGAGTAAAAATAAATATACAAGTGTTAATTGATCGTTGACCTTTTTAATATCACATTTAATGCAACAATTTTAAAATTAAAAAGGAATAATTTAATGAGATTAAGGGAGTATCAGCTGAATGAATATAGTTGAAGTTAAATCGAGTTAAAATATTTAAATTAAAACTTATTGTTACTTAAATTTTTTTATTTTAATCAAGTTTTTCAAATTTATACATTCTAATTGTAACTATTTAATATCATAGTACAGATTGGTTTAATTTAATAATTTTCTTCGACCATATAAATTATACATATATATTTCTTTCTAATTTTTAAAGTAAAGTTTATAATGATATTTAATAAATCAAATAACATTCTAAATTATAAAATATGATTTATAATTTTATTTTTAAAGGTAAAAAAATTGAAGACAAAACATTGATGAGAGTAAGATTGTGTCACAGAAATGATATAAATAAGTAGTTTGCAAAAAGTTACAATAATATGATTAAATTGAAAAAAAAATGTAACATAAATTATATTAAAAAATATTTTTAAAAGTAAGAACCGAAGTATATAGATATTTTATAATTATGAGGAATGTGTAATTCAAATTTGATCAAAAATAAAAGAATAAAGAAACAATAATTAACGGATTACACTGATTTAAAATTAATATATCAACATTTTAAATCTGAATTATTATATTTATCCCTTTAGGAGAAAAAATTAAATTTTGTGGTTAAATACAATCATCAGATTAAATATAACTAATTATTAATCCACATACAATTTAAAAATCTTTGGAATAGGATTTAAAATTAATATATCAAGTTACATTTTAAATCTGAATTTATTATATTTATCCCTTTAGGAGAAAAAATTAAATTTTGTGGTTAAATACAATCATCAGAATTAATATAAATAATTATTAATCCACATACAATTTAAAAATCTTTGGAATAGATTCTCAAGGTAAATAAATATTTATTTTCTCACCTGAAGAAATAAAAAAGGGTGATCCCTTTTGTAACAGGGGGGCAAGAAAGGCATAAAGAGAAGTCCCACTAGTACAAGTCCACCACCAGATTCCTTTTACCTTCGCTGCTAAGATCAAAGGTGCTCCTCTTTCTTTCACATTTATTCAGTCCTTTAAACATAGCAGTGTTTAAGAATAGAACGACTCACTATTGAAGATAAGCACCAAACTAAGCAAAGTTGAAGTAGCAGGTAGTACTTATGAATAAGTAATCTTGAATGAACTCATATCATTGAGAGAGACACTATATTTATACATGTTATTTTCAGTCATGTTTAAAACAATGATTTTAGTCGTATAATCTTTTCAATGATCGATTGAAAGCAGAATACAGTCCAAAAAGATGGCTCAATGTTGAAAAGAATGGAAAGGAAGAATGATTCCCTTATTGAGGGGTTGATCAGAAACCTGTATAATAGAGAATTGGAATAAAGAAAAAGAATACTCGACTTATTTCCAAGCCCGTTTACATCAAGCTGGTTTTGCCAATCCCCCCCCCCCTCTCTCTCTCTCTCTCTCTCCATATTAGCATGTTTCAATTTGAAAATACCAGCGAGTCCCTGTCGCTTAGCAAGCTGCCCCACTTCTTCAAGTTTAAGTCTAAGAAGTTCCACTTCTGTAGCTAAGTCCTCGTTTCTTTTCTTCATTGCCTGAAAAAAAAATGAAACAGGGCTTGTGAATTAGAGGAAATAGAAATCAATTATTCCCCGAGGAGTAGGACATGCAAAATATTCGATCACCATGCTTCTTTCATGCATAAAGAAACCTTTGAAGATCTACATGCATAAATAAGTCACATTGAACTTATGTAGTTTGGACTCGGGTGAGAGTGTTGGATGTAGGTACATATCTAACACAGGTATGTTAAAATTCTTTTTGAACCTTTTCCGTGAATTTGGAGGATACTTTTCTGAGAGTGTGTTAGACAAGGGACATGGATGTCAGACACGGGTATTATTGCAAGAAAAATGAAGAGTCAAAGTAACAGAGGATTAAACACACAGTCTTAGTTAGCATCATGTCAAAATCACCTAGAGAAATAATCAATAACAAACAAAGGAGATTGTTCAATGAATACCTCCAACTCTGCTCGGCGTGCTTCCTCCTTTTTGGCTTCCGATCTAGAACTTCTTTGAACCTCAAAGATCAAGATAGCTCCTGCAACCTATATACAAACTCCAACGTGTAGAAAATCATAAACATTCACGAGAAGTATATGTTTAACAAAGAACAAGTATGGTAAGTTTTGGCAATTCATGCAAATACCACCACTTCATAAACACATTAAGTGCAAGAGTAAATCAAGTATGAAGAGGCAAAAATATCAGCTAAAGGGCCAAAATTCCTTCATGATTACCAAGATCCACTAGTTGCTAAACCTTAGGCTATCATACATATTCTACTCGAATAGAACCAGTGATATATCTAGAATCTATTTAGATTGCAGTTCACTAATGATGCTAAATATTTAAATGCAATGTAACTCGGTTTGATTTATTACTGCATTCAAAATACTATTCCAACAAAGAAGATATCTATACCAGGTGCAGAGCAAAAGAAAAAACAACCTACCTGGTGAGAATATGTCTAATACAAGGTATTGGCAGGTAGTACTATATGTAGAACACTTTTTGTTCGGGTAGATACAAATAAATAGCAACATACGTGCCAACATAGATAAATATAAACACAGATGTGTGTGTGTGTGATGGTAGCATGTTACTAGCTTGATTCATTTTTCTTTATTTGGAAGGAGATGACAAAGCTTTTGGTGACAACATCATCAAGCAAAAAAATTGAGTAATTTCAAATACTTCTAGAAACAGTAATAGGAAGAATAGCTGGGGAACGACTAATACCGTGAACACAAAAAGTTCCCCAATAAGATCTACAGCAGCCTGAACAGCTTTCTCCTCGTCCAAGGGCCGTATCTCAACATCCGTTGCATGACTGTAAATGCGTCTTTGCATTCTAGTTGTGATTCTATGGTTTGCCTGGTTCCATACATTGGCACTGGGATTAAACTTGTAGAAATCTATAATTTACAGCAGAAACATACCATAATAGTACTATAATGCAATATAGATGAACAAGTTGTGAAAAGCTAGCTCATATAAGAAACATGACCTCCTAAGCTTAGTTTAAACACAAGTGTCGAACATTAAAGGGAGAAGAAATTTAAAAAAAAAGTGTAAGGACAAAATAAATGGAAGGAACAAGAGACAGATCACATCATCTGAATCAAATGTATCAACGTTATGGAAACGCATATTTGAACTTTGGCAGTAAGAATATAGAAATGCAACACTACAGATTGCTAGTGATTCAATTTGCTAAAAAGGGGTTAACAATCTAATGGCAATATATGATTGATTCATTCCTTAAACCTAGTGGATCATCAAATTAGATAACACTACTGGCTAAATATTGCAAATCAAGTTCTTAATGAAACCAGGAAGAAAATTAAGACCAAATGATATACCCATACTTTATCATCCTTCTTTTAAATTCAATTTTCAAATTCGCAATCTAAGGCAGAAAAAATTAGTAGATTATTTTGCAGAAGCAGATCTTACAGAAATGTTATGCTAGTACTTAGCAAGCTCGATGCATTATAATATTCCACAGTCCTTACTAGCTTTAGCCTCCCAAATCAAATTGAAAAGAACAACGAAACATAAGAAACATGCAAGTAATTTGTGTACCTGAGCAATGCTAACGAACTGGCGGAACTTGGGGGCATAAGCAGCCTGCTTGAGCCGAGAAGCCACCGGTTTACTCAGCGTTTTTAAGGCCAAAGTTCCTAGCTTTAACAGTGGCAGTGACATCGTTTATGATATGGTTTTCTTTTCTTTTCTTTTCGATCAACAATCAGATAAAAAGGGACGGCTAAACTTTTTGGCGAGAACGAAATGTGAAAATGGGAGATCCCTGCCGGGTTTGACTTTGTCACGATCGAAGTTTCTTTATAAAGGAAGAAAATTAGACTTTCTTAAAAACTAAAATAAAATTGACTCCCACTTCGCCGAGCATACATTTGTGGATGCTTAGGGCAGAGCATGGTTGGTTGGGTATTGGAATTTGGAACTCGCAGCCAATCTGGGTAAATATATCGTCTTTATCCAACGCATTCCTTCCTCTTTACCGACTAGTTGGAAAACGTTGTCCGTACAAGTTATTCCTTTCCCTCTCCCTCATCGTGAAAAGCTTTGGATCAAATTTACTCCCCAACATTTTTATTTAATTAAAAATTTGTTCAGAAACCAATTTAACAAAACTTGTTAAGTCTAAGCATCTTTTTATGTTTTAAGACAGAACACAATGAAGGTCTCAAGAGTTAAAACTTCTATGTATTACATTAAACATAATAAACTTTATAAATATATACCACAATCAGTAATGCAATACATATTGCTACACAAACACATGCTACCATACACAATTTTTTAAATCTACAAGGATAGAGATGAGGATGAATTGGGTACTTGTATTTCTTGAATTATCTAAATTTTAATATGTAAATCTCTCAAATATTATTATCTGAATCCAAATGAAATATTATCCATCAAATAGTCGAATCATCAAAAATCAAAAATCAAATTTTAAATCTTAAATCATATGTTGAATATTCAAATCCTTCCAAATCCAAATCCATTAATGGTTAGATGACCAAAGTTTAAATCTCCTTAAAAAAACAAGCATATTCTTCATTTTGTAATCTATAATCAGATTCAACTAATAGATATACGTGATGTTTATCCGTATCCACACCTAATTCACAATTAAATCTAAACAATAAATAAGTTATCTATGAATCTCTAAATCTGCAATACAAATTGCAATCTTAATAAGAGATGAACAAACAAGTAATATATTACAACACGGATAGTTCTCGACGATAACCGAACAAGTAAAAGTTCTAAAACATTGCAAAACATTACGCACAGATGATGGTAAAAGAACTCAACGCATGTCATATATTGCAAATTGGAACCAATTCAACACTTCACACCACACCAACCAATTCCTCTAGTGTTCAACAACTCCTGCGGTTATAACCAAACATCAGATCGCTGTCTCGTGTATAAAAATCAGAAGGCTTGGCCTTTTCTCCGGACTAAGTGAAGAAAACCAGAATGAATAGAAAAATAAAAAAAAACTAGCATTAAAGCATAAACATTTGGTTTTCAGATTGCGGATAGGATCGTTTTATATGCTACAATACCACATTAAAAAGAATCACCTGAACAAAATCCAGTCGGTTTGTTGTGCTGCCCATTTCAGTACCCAGTCCACCTATTATTTTCTCCTGAAAGACCAAAATATTAGAATATGAAATAGTTATATATATCCTACACTGATATTGAGCAGAACATATTAAATTAGTTACAATTCATTCATGAATAAGATTAAAAGAAAACAATCAAGTAAGCACACTCCCCTGTGCCAGAAGTTCATGTATTGTAAGCTCAACACCTCCTACTCTCTCAACACTAGCACTAAGCTCATCCAACTCCCCGTCTTGCTACCTACAACCATCAATTCATAAAACAATCAAAAGCTAGTAAAAATGGACAGTAAAACATGATGAGAAAAATGCGGGGAAGAGAAACTGCAAGTAAAGATCTCTATTATAAGCATCTGTCTATCTGATTCTGGTTCGATAAAGTCATCGTTGTCTTCTGCAATATACTGTTTGGACTTACCTGATTTGGGAATTTCATTAATTCATGGCGCATCAAACTTGCTGTACTACCATTCTCTTTTCGAGTGACTACAGACTTCTTCACATTTCCTACCTGATCCGACATAGTAATCCTTAAAAGGGATCCATGACTTCAAGATTAAGATTAAACATGAGTTGCACACAATCCAATTCCATCGTATATAATAATAAGAGTATAAGACAATGCCTGCAATACCCCAATCAGCAAATGAACATCATTGAATAAATCTCCAGTGTTCAATTAATGTAACTATACAGATAATACCTGAGCTGAGCACAGGCAGTCGTGGTCCATCTGCTCCTTTTTTAAAGTTTTCTATCATCGATGACATACCAAGAAGATTCTTTAGCCGCCACACTTATTGTTTGTCCAATTCATCCACCTTCCTATCAAGAAAAAGATGCCTTTATACGCAGTTCAAGGTTGGATTAAAATTGTTCAATTAACCCAACAAAGATAAAAGTAAACCCCATCAATCATCAAAACATTAAGTTTTTCCTATCTAAAAGATCCAGTCCAATTAAAGAGGAAAGCTTAATTCCGATACCTTCCATTTGGTGCTCTCACATTTAGCAAGTAGCTTTCTTGTGAGATGTAATTGTTCTCAAGTATCGGGAAATCCATTCCCGCTGATGAAAACTTGATTGCAACTTATCAATCTAAACCAACAAAAAGAGAACACCCAAAACGTCATCTAATTGAAATTCCCAAAAATCTTATTACTTTAACACTGTTAAAAAAAACAAAGACTCAACTTACGGAATCTTGAGTCTCTTCTTTGATGATTTAAAATGGATCTTAAGCTTTAGGCATCTTGAAAGTAGTGGAAGTAACTTATATCGTGCAAAACGAGAGAGAGAAATTCTTTAGCAACAATTCAGGTTTAAGGTTTTTTTTTTCCATGGTTTCTTACTTTTGCCACCAATCTGAGAAAACCCCCCGTTTTTTTCGGCAGTTTTGAAGGATAACAACTACGAGGGAATTCAAGGGATTGAAGGGACAACAAATCACAGACATGTTGTCTTTTTTACCTTAAGAGGTGTGTATTTGGATAGGAATGTGAGATTTTTGTAGGAATTGAATTAATATTTTTTTGTTTGGTTAGTTCGGGAATCTCATTTTTGGTAATGTACGATTATTAATAGTGAATTTTTTGGGATATATTACAGGGAGTGTCATTACCTCCATTTTCTTAGGTATTGTTGGATTCCCGATATTTTGGACTAAAATGCCCTTAATTTTTTTTAAATATCTTTTTTCTGTCATTGAATAATAAAAATTCTACGAATGTTAAATTACAAATTTATCCTTAAAACTATTTTAGATTTACAAAAAAAATCTATAATTAAAATTTTATATGAAGTTCAGTGTTAAATAAAATTTTACCCTTTCATTAAACCTTTTTATATTTTTATTTTTGTAAAAAAATCTATATAAATTTTATGAATTTAAATTTTTAAAAAATATATATAAAAATATTTTCCAACTTGTTAAAAAACAAATATATAATAAGGATAATTTGGTTAAATATACATTCCAATAATCTTTTATTCTTTTAACTAAACACTATAATCTTACATTCCTGCTAAGTCAACCAAACACAAAATACAACATTCCCAGTAATCCTATTCCCTGGTAATCTTCCATTTCGTGAACCAAACGCATTCTAAGGGCTGACCAGTTTGACAAATCGAGGGCCCCTTATCGAGCAATTCGATATTGGGCCTAATATTAATTGGTTAACTCGGCCTACATTTAATGCAATTTAAACTACATACACAAAATCAAATATAGATTTGGGTTGCAGGTCACCAAAATTTTCCAAGGATTGAAACAGCTTATCCAAAGGTATAGTTTGTTAGTCCGATTTTTACTCGATAAATTCATGAAGTGGAGTAATTAAAACTAATTTTATTTCTCGTCACAGAATGATACAAAGTTTAGTCATCCCTCCAACAAGATTTATTTCCAAGGATAAAGTCAAGTCACGTGTGGGTGGTACTACAACGTGAAATTTGCGGACCACTTTGGATTTCTTATTCAAGGCATCCGTACACACCGTTTTGGGCTAACTTAGTATGGCGTTCCCGGTCATGATCCATAACTGACCGTCACAACCTGATTCCCCACTTCAAATGTAGTTTGTTCGTTCGTTGATGGATAGCAGACAGCTTCTGTTCAGACAAAGACCGTCTACTTTCTCTCGCCAAGTTTCATAGGGTTCCTTCCTTCCCTTTTCATTATCTTAGCCCGCCTCCCTTCCAATGTCTCGGGATAAGATAAGCAAAAAATCAAACCAAAATGTGAAGGTGAAGAAGAAACACACAATTGAAGCGAGGAGAAACTTTGAACAGCCTGACATTTGTGTTAGAAACAAACTCGGTGCGTATTATACTCTTTAATGGCGATTAATTTCTGTTGAAAACTAAACAAATCCACCGAAAGGTGGATTAAACAATGCACCGAAAGTGGACACAATTAATGACACATGGCATTTGTTGAATTTTTTAAAATGGTAAAATCATTTTTTAATCATTGTAATTTAGGGTATTTACAAATTAGTCCTTAAGTTTCAACTATAAATACCTTAGCTCATTTAGCTTCAAATTCCCAAAGCATTCTAGCTTTCTTTCAATATTAGAGAGAATTAGAGAGTTTCTTGAGAGTTTTTTCCTTGGTAGATCGAGAGAGGTTATAATTCCTATTTTCTCATAGTGAAATTCTTCAACCGTTGCCCGTGGTTTTTACCCTATATTATTTAGGGGTTTTCCACGTAAATTTTGTGTCTTCTTTATCTTCATTTTTATTTTCTCCAACTATCAGTTGCGATTTTGCTCTATCTGATAGCCGTCTTCCGCAACAATTGGCATCCGAGCCAGATTTGAGTGTGTAATATCTGCTTATTGTCTTTATGAGCCACCAAAAGGTGGATCCTCCAACATAAGAAAGTGAGAATGTATTACTCATTATTTGAAGGTTCCAGATAACTATTCACGATAGTGAAATAGTGGGAGCTATCCGTAATAGAAGTTATGGCAACGAAATTTGATATTGAAAAATTTAATGGGAGAAATTTCTCATTGTGGAAATTGAAAATGAAGGTCATCCTGAGGAAAGACGGTTGTCTAGCAGCTATCAGTGAAAGGCCGGTAGATTTCACACGACAACAATGGATCGAAGACGGGAATGCTATGGCAAACTTTCATCTAGCATTAGCAGATGAAGTATTATCAAGCATCGAGGAGAATAAGACAACTAAAAAGATATGGGTTAATCTCACCAAATTGTACGAGGCCACATCATTGCACAATAAAAATTTTCTTAAGAGGAAATTGTACACTCTCAAAATGTCAGAATCTACTTCAGTGACGGAGCACTTTAACACATTGAACACTTTATTTTCTCAGCTTACATCCTTAAGCTGTAAAATAGTAGAACAAGAACGTGCTGAACTTCTACTTCAAAGTCTACCGGATTCGTATGATCAACTCATCATCAACTTGACAAACAGTAATGTCACCAGTCTAGTCTTCGATGATGTTGCAGCTGCTGTTCTACAAGAAGAAAATCAGCGCAAGATTAAGGAAGACAGAAAAGTAAATCTGCAACAAGCAGAAGCGTTGACAACGATGAGAGGGAGATCAACAGAACGTGGCCAAAGCAGAAGTCACAAACATGGTAGATCGAAGTCAAGAAGCAAAAAGAATTTAAAGTGCTACAACTGTAGAAAGAAGGGTCACTTGAAGAAGGATTGTTGGAGTCTAAATAAAAACTTCAATCCACAAGGCAATACTGTAAACACTTCAGATGATGGAGATCCTCTATGCTGTGAAGCGTCAACCACCGTGGAAGGTAGAAAGAGATATGCATACATATGGCTCATTGATTCGGGAGCAACATATCACATGACCTCAAGAAGAGAATGGTTCCATCATTATGAACATGTCTCAGGAGGATCTATGTATAGTTGCAATGATCATGCCTTAGAGATCATTGGTGTGGAACAATCAAATTGAAGATGTATGATGGAACAATTAAAGTTGTTCGAGATATGCGGCACGTGAAAGGCCTGAAGAAAAATTTATTATCCAACGAATTGTTGGATAATAATGCAAGTAAGATTGAAACACGGAAAAGAATCATGAAGGTGTTCCGTGGTGCTGAAAGGCGAAAAGATAACAGCAAACTTGTACATGCTGAAGGGAGAGACTTTGCTAGAAGCATAAGCCTCTATTGCCTCATGTAGTTTAGATTCTGCAATGCTATGGCATCAGAAACTTGGACACATGTCAGAACAAGGAATGAAAGTCCTTGTGGATAAAAAGCTACTTTCAGGCTTAACAAATGTATAACTTCCTTTGTGTGAGCATCGCATAACAAGTAAGCAGCACCGGTTGAAATTCAACACGTCAAATTCTAGAGCCAAAAGTGTTCTAGAATTGGTTCACTCTTATATATGGAAAGCACCAGTTACATCCCTAGGCGGAGCAAAATACTTTGTCTCATTTATTGATGACTACTCTAGGAGATGTTGGGTGTACCCTATTAAGAAGAAGTCAGATGTGTGTTGAGTTAATCGATTGACGGATTTGGCCAAGAGGGGGGTGAATTGGCAATTAAAAATTTGATGGAAGCTTTTGCAGAAAATTGAAAGTAATTGCACAGCGATTAAGAGTGATTCCACTTTCTCAATCAAAGTCTACGTCCACTTCCTTAGCCATCCACACTAAGGATTTTCCAACAAATTCACTAATTTGTTCTTTCTTTTGAGGCCAAAGAGATAACCTTACAACACCCTCAAGAATATACCCCAATTCTTGAGAACACTCTTTCCCAACGAGAAGATTACAAATTTGCAAACTTACAAGGAAAACCTCACAAGGTAAGATGTTTGCACAATTCTAGAACAAGAAAATAACACTCAAAGATAATTACAAATGATCACAAATGGTGTTCTTGAAAGCAAAATGAATATTGAAAGGAAAATTGGCTTGATTTGCACAAACTTGGTGTTTGATACTTTCTCTCTTGTTTCTCTATGATTTCTTGTTGATCAAGGGCTTCAGAACTTGTTTAAATACACCTTGAATCACTTATGAACGTTGGGGATGATTAGTGAAGATCATATAGCCGTTTTAGTATGAAAACAATTAATAAAACAGCTTGTAGCATGGGGGGAATCGGTTCCTCCTCATAGGGAATCGGTTCCCTAAGTGTAAAATTCAAATATTTCGACCGTTGAACAGAGGGTATCGGTACCCCCTATGGGGGAATCTATTCCCTCCAAGCATTCTGGAAATCTCGGAGCCAAACCATTCAGGGGGAATCGGTACCCCCTTGGGGGGAATCGGTTCCCTCTGAGCAATCTGGAATTTTTGGCTTTGAAATGGTTCGAAATCTTTGAAAGATTATTTTGAAATTGTTTTAAGATTAAAACTTAATTTTACACTTAAGTAAGGATTAAAAATGATTTTTTGAAATATTTGGAGTAATGTTTTGATATTCGAATAATTATATCGAATATACTTAGAAAATCATTTAGAAAATCTTAAAATTCATTTAACTTAATTTGTTATATCGAAATATCAAAATGTTTTCAACAATCTCCCCCTTTTTGATATAACAAAACATTTTAGTAATTTTAAGATTTTGAAATCAAGTTTTGAAATTACTCCACCTTACTTTAACACTTCTCCCATTTATCATTTTTAAAAACACACACTTCTCCCCCTTTTTGTTAAATCAAAGAGATTCAAAGAAACGTGAAAATCATTTAGCCAATTGATTAGGTATATGTATGCATAAGCTGCTAAGATCACAATCAAGATAAACGTTAGCCATTAGTTCCATAATCAATATTCATAAACAATGTGATATGGCAAAATTGGTCATATTGCTAATAATGATGTAAATGATGCAATAATGAACAAATCACACCAAACATATAAGTTCACACCATCCATAAATCCAAACACATTCACAATCCACAAA